TAGTGTGGTGCTTATGGGGTTACTAGGGGGCACCCTGGACCTCTGGGGCCCAAACTCCACTCTTCTATTCCACACTGCTGTGGTGTGACTATGAGTGGATTTTTAGCCTCCCCTGGACTCCCTATCTGTAAAATTCAGAACTATCTCATTGGTTTAACTGACCAATGAATAAGATACATGGACAGTGTTTAACCCAGTGTCTAGTACATAGTCCTGCAGGGCATCACCTTCCACATACTGACCCCAAGCAATGTTTAAGGAAGTCCCATCCATTCATGGAACACCTGTTCCAAAAGAATATTGCAGCAGCAATACCAAACCCTACAAACACTTTGATTTTTTCCTAGACATACACACCTATGATAAAGTTTTATATATATATATATATATCTAATAATGAAATAGGACAATTACAGCAATATGCTGTGATGAAAGTAATGTAAATGTTCTGTGCTATGAGATGATAAAATGTCTACATGAAGAGATAAAGTAAGGCAAACGACATAGGCATTGTGACGTAGCATTTGAAACGTACAAGCTGGTTATTTCTGGAATGTTCCATTGAATGCTTCGGACCATGGTTGCCTGTGAATAACTGAAACCATAGAAAGTAAATCAGCAGGTAAGGGGGATCAGCTGCACTGCTGTACTCTGTGTCAGACTCTGCCCCAAGAGCTTGAAAACCTCACTCATTAACCCAGAGCATTGGATCACCCAGGTGCTGGCTAGAAATGTAGAGTCCCAGACTACAGGATGAGACTGCACTTTCACAAGACCCCCAAGTCACTTGCATGCATGTTATTCTTTGAGAATCACTGCTTCAAAATGTCACTCAGCCTTCTGAGGGAGTCCCTATGGTTCCAGTCCTGTTTTATTAATAAAGTCACGAAAGCACAGTGAGTCTGTGCATCTTTAGAAAAGAGGCACAGGTGGTCCCTGGAATCAAGCAAGCAGGCTTTGGGGCTTACATTCTCCACCACAGGCCACGCTGTCTTCAGAAGGCTCCTGGGCCTTTTATCCAAAGCCTTCCATGTAACAGCCTTGTGGCTGTGAGAGCAGTGGGGAATAAGCTCAGCAGCACACAGGAGGCAACAGAACCTCCACTGCTCCCAGACTGCAGATTTTATGATGGGGCCAAAGTCCAAAGCTGAGCTCTTGCCATACACACTGGGCATGGAGGCCAAAGCATCATCCAGAGTCTTGGTGCCTGGGCCCTGGCTGTGCCACACATTGCAGCCTTCATACTTCCTACTCCTTCCTGTCACATGCATGCAGCTGACTGTCCATCCTGCTTACACAATTCCTCTTTGGATCCTGGGCACTGATTATTACTCAGTGTGACCAGGCTGAAGAAGAGCAGGTTTTGGACACAGGAAGATCATGTTGGAATCATGTCCATCATCTAGTACAGTCCCTCTAGCCATTTTGCCATCACAGTCAGAATAAGCTGCTAAACAAACAATTTATCTTAAGTGTTGTAGGAAAAAAATCTCCCATGAGGAAACTTAAAACGCCAAGTCTACTCTGTATGTGAACTTGAAGTTCCAAGTTACCATACCACCATAGGGGAAAAAATCCCCAAGTCACAAAAAAAAAATTTAACATGGAAATTGAACATAGACTAGTATTGTCCCTGAAGTATCTGATAGAAATCAATGTAAAAGTATTCTGGAGATAAATTGCAACCCAGACTATATGAAAATTATACAGGTGGGAAAAAAATCCCTACTGAATATGAGCTCACAATAAAAAATTATGAAACACGAACTGAGTCAGCATACTCTACAAACAAGAGAATTATGTCTATAATTTCAAGTAATAGAACAATCTAAAGGGGACTATAACATAAAAATGTTTAAAACAAAGACAGGAAAGGAGACATTATGAACTATAAAGAAAGAACAGGAGAGTATGGAAAAAGTATTTAAGAGGGACAACATCTCAAAATATAAAGCTCATGGATGACATAATGGTTACATTTCTGGACTTTCACATAGTCGAACAAGGTTCAAGTCTTGTACCTGATGGCTTAAAACGCACACCAGGTGTGTGTGTGTGTGTGTGTGTGTGCGCCCAAAATCCCGAGAGGAGAATGGAAGAGAAGGGACTGCAGCATGGCCATCCCCCCTGTGGGGTGACTTCTCACTTTCTGCCTCTCTCTGTTTCTCTGGCAAGTGCATGTCCCCTAGAGCAAAAATCTCTCTTTAAAAAAAAAAAAAAAGTTCATGGACATCTTCTGAGTATAACAGCAGATTAAAAGGAACTAAAAGGAGAATCCATGAATGGAAAGATCTGAGGCACTAGCTCTAAATTTATTACAGAGAAACAGAGATAAAAAATATGAATGAAATGTTAAAGACAATAATAATATAAGATTTAAAATAGGTGCTGTAGAATTTCTATCAGCAGATCATAGAGAAGAAAAGAAAGGTAATATCTTAAGAGATAAAGGATGAGAATATACAGAACTGTTGAAAAACATTGGTTTCCTGTGGCTGCTGTAACAAATCATCACAAACTCAGTAGCTTAGAACAGTACAAATATATTGTATAGGTCTATATATAATAAATCTAATGCAGTTTCACTGGGATAAAGTCAAATTATCAGCAGGGCTGCATTCTTATCTGAAGGCTCTATGAAGGCTCTAAGGGAGAATCCTTTTTTCTTCTTCTTCAGGTTCCAGTGGCCACCCACATCCTTAGTTTGTGGCCTCTCCCTCCATATTCAA